ACTTAGAGAGAAAAGGAAATATCTCACTTTCTGACTCATCCTGGTTTCTGATTTATTGTGTTTACAAATATATTCCTTTTAGGCCCTCATTTCCCACTGATTTAGCCATAAATGCCTCAAAAAGTACTAAATACCTTAGATATGTATAAATACCTTACCCTTTCTCACTTCCCGTTGAGCAGATGAGAACGTTGTCACACTGCTCCAGCTTGTAAGCTTCTTCTCAAGCAACAAATGCATTGATGATCTTTGTAAACTGTGGTAGGACTCTGGTTCATTCCAGGTCCCCCTTTTGGACCTGGAGTTTCTTCCATTTTAGCAGTTCACAGGGATTTTTATTTTAACACTGCACAGATGTGCTCCTAATGGTGGGGTATGGTCCCAAACCGAGATCTTTGCCCCTTGCCCTAAGGGGAATCTGGCTCCCATTTGACTAGGGGGCCCTGCTCCTTATCTCCCTTTGAAAGCCCTTGCCCTGCCTTTTGATCTTATTCAGATGCTTTTCAAACCTCTTCCTTCCAGTTCCCTTCATTATCTATTCCCATTGTCTGTTCAATCTCTCAGACATTCCAATTCCTAGCCCCTCCTCTGGTCACCCAAAATTACTTGAGTGTATATAAGATCCACCCTGGCCCCCATTTAAACGCTGAGACTTTCTTGTGCCCGCTTGTCCTTATGAATGTCACTTGGCCGATGTGGTTTATCTCTAATAAACTTTTTCTCTGGGTGAAAGAAGGTTTGGGTTGAATTCATTCAGGCAGGGCCTTTGTGTCATGATCTTGGGGTCCCAGCACCCTGAACCTCCAGACCTCATCACTAAGAATATTGACTCCTTTTTGAGTCTGGGGGATCTGGGATTTCATTAGTATGGCAGTGTTATGGGAATTTTTTATTTGCTTTTATTATTTGAGACTAAGGGCTATTCCTCCTGCAAGTTTTGGTTAATGTAAAGGTTAACCTCACCTGAACAAAAAACTGTCTCATTGGATGTAAAATTTTGCTTAAGAGCATTACTTAGATAAGAAGCTAGAGGAAGAATCTCAACTGTCCCTGACTCCTTGGCAACATATAAATGCTCCTCATCAAGTTGCATTAAGGAGAGGAAGCCAAAATAACAAAAAATATGCTCTTTAGTTGGGGGAAGGAGTTACAACTGAAGTTCCAAGCAGCAGCAAGTGCTAGGGGCTGGATGCAGGGCAGAGGGGTGAGGAGGGCCTCCAAAAGCATTTGGGTTGAGGGAGAGGGGCTGTAGCAGGTGCAAAGGTGTTGGGACATTCTATGGTTTTACAAAGTAAGTTGTTTTGCATAGTAACTAAAAGTCCATAGAGAAAACTTGGGAATCTAGGAGGGGAGAGTTTAGGACATTACAAAATTGTCAGCCTCAGGCAATTCATGGGTCTGCGAATGGGGACAAGGTCAGCTTCAGTCAACTGCATTTGACATCCTCAATCTATTTGTGAATCTTCTAAATATAGTTTAATCTATAACCTGATTTAGTTTATCTATGTAGTTTGTTTGATGAGGTTTATTTCCTTCGGGGATATGTGAGAATATGACTCTAACTAAGTTAGTTGCAACTTTTATAACATTGGATGGATCTATCTTCCCTCTAATTTTTATGGCCTACGCCTCACTCTCTGTTCTTCAGAGTCATCAGAGTCCAGTGGCAAGACATAGGTCTGAATAGCACTTCTAGGGCTATATCCCAGAGAGATCAAACAAATGGGAAAAGGACCCACATGTACAAAAATATTCATAGCAGCTCTTTTTGTGGTGGCAAACAATTGGAAATTGAGAGGATGCCCATCAATTGGGGAATGGCTGAGCAAGTTGTGGTATATGAATGTAATGGAATACTATGTGCTATAAGAAATGATGAACAGGCTGACTTCAGAAAAATATGGAAAGACTTATATGGTCTGATGCTGAGTGAAGTGAGCAGAACCAAGAGGACTTTGTACACATTAATAGTCACATTATGCGATGACTAATATTGTTAAACTGAACCCTTCTCAGCATTACAAGGATCTAAGACATCTCCAGAGGCCTCCGGATGGAAAATGCTGTCCACATCCAAAGAAAGAACTATGGAAGTTGAATCGCTATCACTTATTTTTACCTTCTGTTGAGTTTTGTTTCATCTTTCTGATGGTTCCTCCTATTGGTTTTAATTTTTACTTACAACTTCACTAATGTGAAAATATGTTTAATAGGAATGTGAATGTAAAGCCTATATCAGATTGTGTGCCATCTTGGGGAGGGTGGGGGGAGGAAGGGGGAGAAAAATTTTCAAATCAAAAGCATATGGAAGTGGTTGTTGATAAATCAAAATAAATTAATAAAATTTTAAAAAAAAGACATAGGTCTGGACAACTGCTGATGGCCCCAATGAAGTGGAGGACCTTGGCCTCCTTAAACTAAAGTATTTCCCAGATCTCAGTTTGAGGCAACACCCATTTAGTAGTTGAAAGCTAGGTAAAAATTGAGGCAGAAACAATTGTTATTTACACTCACTGTGAGCCATCAAAACACTATGAGCAAGTGAAGCTTAGGCTGGGAGGCTGAAGACTTTCCACAGCTGTCCCTCACTGAAATCTTATTCACATGCAAGTCAGGACATCACCCTCCTGATGTCACCGGTTCTCTTCAAGAGTGAAGGATTAACAATGATCTAAGAGTAGTAGTAGCTGTCCCCCTGGAGACTCAACTGGTCAGTTCTAGTTGGTCAGTACTGCTATTTCCTCTTCCTCATATTCTTCCTTCTCCTTCTCCTCTTCCCTCTTCCTCCTCATTCTCTTCTTCTTCTCCCTCTGTCAAGTGGAAAGTCCTGCCTTACATGTGGGTGCTGGGTCCAAATGAATATAGATTTTGATTGCTTGTGCTCTGCGGGGTATCTTGGGATTTGGGTGTTCTTTGTTCTTTTTTTTTTTTTTGAGACTGGAACAATTGACTCTTGTCTTATGGGGTTTTCGTTTGTGATTTCTAAAGGCATAGCTCTGGAGAACCAGGGTTTGAGGGAACCTGTTGGATTCAGATGGAGCTGTTTGACTATGCCTTTGAATCCACATTACTCTGGCTCTCATTGATTGGCCAATGGTGGCTCCCCGCCCAGGCCTTACTCACTTGTTGTTTGGGTTTTCATGGCTCAGAGTGAATGCAAATGGCAATTGTTTCCGTTCTGGCCAGAAACTCTGAGGGTCTTCCCCTCTCAGAGTGATTCTTTTGTGAGAGCAAACTAAGCCATCTTTTCCTCAATTCTTACCTAGCCTTTAACTGCTGAATGGGTGTTGCCTTGGGTGGGCTGAGACCTGGGAAGGATCTTAGTTTGGGAGGATCAAGGTCTCCCTCTGTATTGGCCATTGCCAGTCGTCTTAACTTATGTCTTACAACTGAACTCCAATGACTCTGGAGGAGAAAGTGAGGCTGGTGACTTTGCTCAGCTCTGCCTCACTTAAATCCATTTCTCTTGCAAGTCACAATATCACCCTGATGATGTCATTGGTCCTTTTTGAGAAAGGATGAACAACAAATAACAACAACAACAACAATATGGTCTAAGAGGGATGCACAAAATTGTAATATGTAAAACAATGATTTGCCTGTCATTCTGATGTAATTTTTTCTATAAGAAGACTTGTTGGAATGCTCATGATTCTCCAGGTTTTTTCCGAGGCCAGAATCTATGATCGATAATAATAATAATGATAATATAATAATAATAATAATAATAATAATAATAATAATAATAATAATCCCTTGGTTTTTACTTCCATAATTTCTTCATTGTGGTAAATATATATTTGGCAACAATTACCCATCATATGAACTCAGAAGAGATATTCCTCCCATACCAACAGGCAGAGACTTCCTTTATTGACACAGAATGTGAACTCTTTATCATTGTGAATTGTGTCCATTTTAAAAATATCTCTATATTGTGTACATAATACATGTGAACAACAAAATTAAACTGTAAAAGCCTGTCTAAAGCAAATAAGTTCAACTTCATTTAAATTACTAATACTTTATATAAGTTTCTGGACTAGAATTTTCAATCTTTTTTTTCTGCCCTAATATCCCTTAGTCCTCTTATTTGTTCAGGGTGCAAAGGAAAGAGGAGAGAGAGGGAGAGGTCACGTTTTCAAATCTTTCATTTAAAATATCTGGCTACTTTATGAGTTTTGCTTTCTTATAAGTACTAGTAAGATTCTCTCATTTTCCCTTGCATTTTCTAAGATCAAGCATCTTCTAATCATATTATCAGGGTAAGGTTTCTATTACTTCCAATTTAGACAAGTTCTTTTAGCAAAATTAATCAGAGCTCCAAGCAATTTTTATTGTCCTCAAAGCTTCAAACTTGAAGATAGCTCTTCCATCCCTCACAGATCAATCAATCAATAAGCACTTAGTAAGCACCTAATATGCCTTCTACTCTCCAGGCTTAACATCTATAATTTATACAATTGATTTTCCTATTATATTTATAGCCTAGAAAAATAGTGACAAACATTCCTAGCTTCTGCATTTCTTTATGTCTACATTTAAAAAATATATTCTACAATTTTAAATAACTGAAATTAACACAGATTTTCCAAATGTGGGCTCTTTGCAGTCAGTCTATGATAGTATTATCAGATCTACACATTACTTTAAAATTTAAGAATCATTCTCTTTACCCATATCTGTTTGATAGATAGTACAAGTAACAGCAGACTTTTGTTAATGATGCAAACACTAGGACTCTGAGATGTTAAACAACTCATTCCAACAAAAATAATGTTTTATAGCACTTTAAAGTTTACAAATAATGGGAAATTTACTTAAATGTGAAAAGCAGATCACTCAGCCAAAGTCTGGAATTTGACAGCTCTGATTTTAACTGGATAAACACAAAACTGTTTTCAAATGTTTCAAGATGTGACTCTATTAATTAGTGAATTTGCTCTTATAAGCCAAAGTAACTTCTTGAGATTATATTGATTTTACAATTTTTCTTTTAGGAAAACCCTAATGATCTACGGTTTTGGCTGGGGGACACATACACACCCGGATATGATGCCTTATTGAAAAAGAAAGAGCAACAATGGAAGCAATCTAAATACTGCCGAATAAGCCTGATTGTGTTGGTTACTGCCTGCATCTTGGTTTCTATAATTACTATTTGCAATTTCCTTACCTAAGGAATCTGCTATAGCAACACTGAGTATGAGAAGTTCTCTTTCAATAAATATTTGCATAAGCATATATTCTTGTTTTAGTCTTGCTTCAGTGCTGCACCTTGACATGAAGGTGAACTTGAGTTCTTAAAGATTATGCTGGGGCGGTTAGGTGGCGCAGTGGATAGAGCACCGGACCGGAGTTCAAATCCGGCCTCAGACCAAACGTTTGACACTTACTAGCTGAGTGACCCTGGACAAGTCACTTAACCCTAATTGCCTTAAAAAAAGAAAAGATTATGCCCAGTAGAAGGGAAGTTCTAATAGTTCCATTTACCATTGTAAGGCTTTGAGTACAGGTCTGAAAATTTATCTGAAATATTTATCTGTGGTCTAAAACCTAGCCACTTAAATTGTGCTATAAAATGTTCCAAGATCTTTGCATTCAGTATCATATTTGAACTTCACACCAACTCTGTGAAGCAGGTATCATTGGGAGGCAATATTGTGTAGAGGATAGATTGATTGACTTAGAGGCAGGAGAATGTGGGTTAAAATCTTGCCTCTGATGCTACTCCATGTGTGACCTTGGGGAAGTTACTTAACCTCAATTAACCTATTACTTTTTTGTCTGTAAAACTAGAATAATGGAACCCACTTCATAAAATTGTTCTGCAGCTTGCTGGAGATCAATGCTTTAACAAAGAAAGTGTAGAAAGATTGACTTTTGGGGCAAAAGAAAGTTGTTGCAATCAAAATCTGCAATAAAGAGAAATTGAGGTGCAGAACTCCAAGCATGATTCATTTATTAGCAAAGTTAGCAATTGCCAATAAATGGTATCCAAGGATCCCCAGTAGCCAAGGATGCATCTGACAGTCATGGCAACTCTTTTATCATCAGTAAAGAGGAACTGATCAGCCTACACAATCTTGGGAACATAGGCCTATCTCATTTCTGATTGTTCAGTGTTGAGGTTGCTAACCACAAATTACATCATCAGGTGGTGAACACCTGGACCAACATCCTTTGGAAAGTTCCATGGTTGACACTTGCTAAAGGAGAATATAGACCTTGCAGTCTGGTGGACACTTTCCTAGGAAGCATACTATTGATTCCCTATTGCATTGGATTTTTGTGGAGGAAAGGACCCCAGAAAGGGAACTAACACACAGGGCTTGATTTCTTGGTTGTTAGGAAAACTGTAGAACAGTTATTTTTCCTTGTGGTTACTATAATATACATGAGGCAAATTTATATGTAACAATAACAGGGTAGTTTAGCTAGCAATGCATAATATGATTACTTTTATGGTGTGAGTGGCTTGGGGTACAAATAGGGAGCATGCAGCTTCAGACTTAAGTTCAGAAGGAGTTCAAGTTCACATATTAAGGGAGAGTAACTAATACATCATTAATACATAGCAAATTGTATAAAATTAAAGTAAATTGTATAAAATAATACAAAAATAAAGTGGGATATCAATTTTGAATTCTACAGAACAAAAAAGGTGTAATCAGGAGATAAAAAGTATATAAGGAACCAAAGATACAAGGAAGAAAATAAAGAACTAAGAGAAGTGAAGGTGGAAGAGTTAAATTGATATGCCATGGACTAAATGTCCTGATCTCCAAGAGGAATCAATGTATTTTTTGGAAAGACTGTAGAGATGTTAAAAGAGTTTTTTTGGAAAAGAGTTTCATACATGGGAAGAGAAGAAATAAAGGACAGAGGGGGATGTGTTCTTTAATACTGTAAAGTCCACAGGCAAACAGGGAAGGGATCTACTGGTATTCCTATAGTCTCTGGACAAGAAGTTGTTCCAGGAGAATGGGAGGGAGATAGCAGAGGAAATGGATTCAAACCAGAGGACCAGAAGTGGGACAGAGTGGGAATCTTGCATCAGGGATGAAGGAACTCATTGAAGAGAGCAGTTACTCTGTTGGGATGCTGTGGTAGGCTTAGTCAGGGGATACATTGAGAGGCCACATTCTTTAAGACAGTGTTGTGCATCTATGGCCAACATTCCACTCCAGAACAGAGTATATCTGAGTTTCTGGGTGTGAGTTCCACTCAGAGTGGTGGACAGGGAAGGAACACAGAGCCAAAAATGAAATAACATTACCTTTGGAAAGGACATTAATCATCTTAAGGACTGGGGTACATGGTTCATTAAACAGAGTAAGTTCTACCATATAAAGCTTCTTGCAGCTAACATTTTTTCTCTCATGAACTGATATTTCTCTAAGAGCAATGTACAGAAGAAAAACAGAAGGGAAAAAGATCTACATAGAAATGCATAGGAAGGAGGAACTAACCCTTGGTGAAAAACTTGAACTCTGTGAAGGGCAGAGAAACAATTAAGAAGGAACAAACAAGGAACTCATGTATGATAAAAGAAAATTCCACATAAATTGGAAAGGAGATATGTCATGAATAGGACAAAGCAAAGAAAAATTCCTTATGAAATGTACAATAAAAGAAAATTACTTTTCAAAAAAGAGGTTGGAGGAGAGAAAAGAAGGTCTAGAATGAATCAATTAACTTTGTGATATTCTCATGGGGAGGAGGTGGGTATCTACATAGAAATATAAGGACCTTACGGCAGTCTTAATCTGGGCAGAATTTACACATTTAAAGGAAATTTTCTCTAATACAGAGCTGTGCCTTAATAGTCAGCATCCTACCCCACAGGAAAGGGATTAAGTAAATGCCTAAGGGCAACTAGCATAGAGAGTGGTGGTGGGGAAGTGAGGTAGAGCCAAATTAGAGGCTGAGATTGCATGGCTTCTGGAAACAAAAAAGAGGAGGAGAAATAGGTAAGTAGTTAAATAAATAGGGAAAAAACAGTAATTGAAGTAAAATACAATAACTTGTGAAAGGGTAGCTACATAGGAGTGTGGAAGGGGAAGAGATCCTATGGAATTGATTAACATCAAAGTAGTTTGCTCAAAACAAATCTTAGAGATCTACTGAATTAAAAGAGGACTGGAGACTGAAAAAAGCAATTCTAAAGAAACAAAGGGAGGAAAATACAAACCTAACAACCATAACTTTAAGTATAGCCATTCCTTAATTAATGGACATCCCCTCAATCTCTAATTCTTTAATACTACAAAAAGAGCTCCTATAAACATTTTTGTACATTTGAGCCTTTTCCCTTTTTCTTTGATCTTTTTGGAGTATAGATATAGGGTTATCAGAAAGTATGCAGAGTTTAATAACTCTTGGGGCACAGTTCCAAATTTCTTTCTGGCATGGTTGGACTTAGTTCACAGCTCCACCAATAGTGCATTTGGGTCCCTATTTTCCCACATTCCCTTCAGCATTTGTCATTTTCCTCTTCTGTCTTCTTTGCCAATCTGATAAGTGTAACTCAGTATGTTGGAATTCTTTTAATTTGCATTTCTCTATTTATCAGAGTTACAGCATTGTTTAATATGACTATTGATAGGTTTGATTTCTTCCTTTGAAAACAGTTCATATCTCTTGATCTTTTATCAATTGAGGAATGGTTCTTTTTTTCTTTTTTTTCTTTTTAATATAAATTTATTTTTAGTTTTCAACATTCGCTCCCACAAGTTTTTGAATTCTAAATTTTCACCCCATTTCCTCCCTCCCCCCACCCCAAGAGGGCATGAATTCTGAATATCCCTTCCCCTAGTCTGTCCTCTCTTCTATCTCTCTCCCCTTCTCTTACCCCCTTCCCCTTCTATTTTCCTATAGGGCAGGACAGACTTCTGTACCCCATTTCCTATATTTCTTATTTCCCAGTAGCGTGGGAAAACAGTTTTTTAAACATATGTTTTTAAAACTTCAGGTTTCAAATTTTCTCTCTTCCTCCCTCCCCACCCACTCTCATTGAAAAGGCAAGCAACTCAATATAGGTTATACATGTGCAGTTATGCAAAACACTCCATAGTAGACATGTTGTGAAAAACTAACTCTATTTCCCTTAATCCTATCCTGCCCTCCCATTTATTCTATTCTTTCTTTTGACCCTGTCCCTCCTCAGAAGTATTTACTTCTGATTACCCCTTTCCCAATCTGCCCTCCTCTCTATCATCCCCTGCTCTCTTGTCCCCTTCTCCCCCTATTTTCCTGTAGGGTAAGACAGATTTCCATACCCAATTGAATGTGTATGTTATTCCTCCTTAAGCCAAATCCTATGAGAATAAGATTCACTCATTCCCTCTCACCTTCCCCTTTCCCCTCCACTGTAAGAGACTTTTCTTTTGTTTTTTTTTGTGAGATAATTTACCCCATTCTACCTCTCCCTTTCTTCTTCTCGAGTATAATCCTCTCTCATCCCTTAATTTTATTCTCCAGATATGACCCCTTAATCTTCAGCTCACCCTGTGCCCTCTATCTATCTACATATACATACATATAATTTTTTTCCTCCAACTACCCTAATACTGACAAAGGTCTCATGAGTTATAAATATCATCTTTCCATGCAGGAATGTAAACAGTTCAATCTTAATAAGTCTCTTATGATTTCTCTTTCCTGTTTACCTCTTCATGTTCCACTTGAGTCCTGTATTTGAAAGTCAAATTTTCTATTCAGCTCTGGTCTTTTCATCAAAAGTGCTTGAAAGTCCTCTATTTCACTGAATGACCATTTTTTCCCCTGAAGGATTATACTCAGTTTTGCTGGGTAGGTGATTCTTGGTTGTAATCCTATCTCCTTTGCCCTCTGGAATATTATATTCCATGCCCTGCGGTCCTTTAATGTAGAAGCTGCTAAATCTTGTGTTATCCTGATTGTGTTTCCACAGTACTTGAATTGTTTCCTTCTGGCAGCTTGTAATATTTTCTCCTTGACCTGGGAACTCTGGAATTTGGCTACAATATTCCTAGGAGTTTTCCTTTGGGGATCTCTTTCAGGAGGAGATCTGTGGATTCTTTCAATTTCTATTTTGCCCTCTGGTTCTAATATATCAGGGCAGTTTTCCTTGATAATTTCTTGAAAGATGATGTCTAGGCTCTTTTTTTGATCATGGCTTTCAGATAGTCCAATAATTTTTAAATTCTCTCTCCTGGATCTATTTTCCAGGTCAGTTGTTTTTCCAATGAGATATTTCACAT